CGTCAATGGAACAAAAGCTCTTTCCATCCACAAAAATTCATAGGGAGAGAGATTAAAAACAGCAAAATAAATAAATTGGGACCTGGTTGTTATGCGTCCAAGCCCACAAACGTAGAAATGCGGACCGCTTAATCAATTTTAATATGAAAAAAAAAAAATTTAAAAAATTAAAAATATTAGGCAAACATTTGGAACGTTAGTTTTTTTTACTTTTAGAAAGAACACGGCATGCATCCATTCTAAAGACGAATGTTTTACATCTTTTTTTCCATACATAAAAAAGCGATCCAGCCCGCATGAAACAATTTTGCAATAAATTGATACATATATTAGAGACACAGAGCATATAAAGAGAGAGAACAAATAAGTAAAGAGAGATTAGAGACAGTGCAAATAAATAGAAAGAGAGGAGAGATCCGACACAGCAAAGAAATAGAGAGAGAGAGATGCGTTTATTTGTCTTCATAACTCTCCTATTCATTTCAATGCTGCAATTCACGCTTCTCCGGCATCTAGCAAAAGCAGCTGAACTTTGCTTGGGCTCTACAAAATACACGGCATGAAGCAGGTATGAGGAGAACCTGAAAAGCCTCCTTCAATCCCTCAAAGCCAATGCCTCCATCTCGAGGGGTTTCAACTCCACCACCTCGGGCACGAGCCCTGACCAAGTCTATGTCCTTGCCCAGTGCAGGGCTGACACCACCACCGCCGAGTGCAGAGATTGCATGAACAGGACCACAACCGACGCCCTGCAGTTACGTCCAACCAGGAAAGAGGCGATCGTTTGGGACGATCAGTGCATCCTTCGCTACTCTGATTCCAATTTCATCGGATCAATAAACACGAATCGATTATACCTTCCGAATGTAAACAATGCCTCTGATCGAGACTCCTTTAACCTGGAACTTGGTGGTCTGATGAGGAACCTGACATCGAGAGCTGTCTCTGACCCGCTACTCCTCTATGCATCCGGGAAGACTGTGTACGATAATTTTGTAACGATTTATGGGCTGTTGCAGTGCACGAGGGATCTCGATGATGCAGAGTGTAGGAACTGCCTTGAAAGCTTGATTGCCGACATCCCCAGCTGCTGCAATGGTCATGTCATGTCGGAGCTCAAGTTTTGAGCGGGAGTTGAGTTGTATACTGCGGTATGAAACATATTCATTCTTCACACCCGCCCCTCCACCGCCACCACAGCCAATGCCAAACTCACCGCCGCCACTGGCTACGACAAACGCTCTGCAGCTACCACCGCCACCGGCTACGACAAACTCTCTGCATCTACCACCGCCTGAAAATCCTACCCCTCCAGGTAAGCGAATACTCTCTCACTTCAAACGGCATCTCCTCTGAATATTGAAAGGGATTGCTTAGTGTAGCATGTAGCATACAAACTGTAAAGCATAGGCATTTTCCACCGTCCAATGACAGTGAATTACGGTGAAAATGAATCATTCTCTCCGTTTGAGCTGGTAATTGTGGAGAATGGGTTGATCGTTACCGTCCATTCATGATCACAGTTTGTGGACGGCCCTCAGGGATCACAATGGGTGCATTTTCCAGTTTTCATGCATCACTAGACTAGTGCAGGGTATACTTTCCCATATAGAAAACAAACAAAAACAGGGTATACTTTCCCATATACAAAACAAACAAAAACAATAATTACGGTCTATTTTGTGGACTATCGCATTCACGAAAGTGACCCAACAGTTACGAAAACAAGAAAAAGTTTATATAAGGTTGGAACCTTACCTCTACAGCTACCGAAGCACCACAAAAATCCATCCAAAAATACAGTTTTAATGATGAAAACCCTTCGATTGATCATCTCGACATCGAGATGTATCACCATGAACAATAAAAACATTTTAAGTCTAAAAAATAGTGCATTTTACAATATATTATCTACATCGTCCATTTTCAAGATTTTCATACGTTTATTGATCTATTTGATTTTAAAACAAATTTTGAGATAATCCTAGGAACATTTTATATCAAAATTATATACTATAATAAAATTTGAAGGTGCACCTTACCTCTAGAGCTATATATGCATCTGTATGCCAACTGAACCCAAACAATAATACTTTTATCCCCCATATAGAAAAGTTTATATAAGGATGCAACCTTATAATGTAGAGGTATGGATGCACCTCAAAAAATCCATCAGAAAAGGTAGTTTTAATATTGAAAAACCTTTTATTGATTATCTCAACATCAAGATGTATGATCATGAAAAATAAAAAGATTTTAAGTCTCAGAATTAATGCATTTTACAACATATTATCTACACCCTTCATTTTCAAGATTTTCATATGTTTATAGATCTACTTGATTTTGACTATTTTTCAAATTTAAAATTTTATTATTAGATATAAAAATAAATTTTAAAATAATCTTAAAAACATTTTACAACAAAATTACATATTACCGTAGAATTAGAAAGTGCACCTGACCTCTACACCTACGGATGCGTCCGTATGCCAACTGCAACCTTTATTTATTTCGTTGAGCAGGAACATTCAATGGAGGACAAAGCACACTTTCACAAGTACGAAAACTTTATAAAGACAAAGTTTTACGCGTGGTCCTACCCACCCATTTGAATTGGCGCCACCCTCACAATTTACGTTTGGTGAGGATTGCACAAGGTTGTCTCTTTTTACTATAGAGGTAGGGTGAACATCTAAAATTTGGTTAGAGGTATTGTTTCATCCTCAAAATCTTGATCATTGTTTCATAATATATTTCTATCCCTATTTTGAAGTTTAAAAAATAATACATATTGAGAAAGTCAATAAAGACTTAAAATTCATGAAAATAGAATGTTCAGATAATTTTTTATAAAATGCACTATGTTTTAGACTGTGAATTCTTTTTTTCCTTCATGTCCACACATATTGAGGTCAAGATGATCAGATGTTGCATTCTCTAACATCGAAACACTCACTTCTGCATGACTTTTACCTTACTTCAATAGTTTAAGGTTGCAACCTTATATAAACGTTTTTCTTTTATTTTATGTATTTTCCAATGGATCGAATCTTTCACTATATTTATGTTGTATTTCAAGATGAACAATTTTCTAGATTGGGTCTAGATCCGAATTGGTGATCCAAAAAATGTTAAAAAATAAATAAAATCAAATCAAAATTAAAGCAAAGGTTTATAGGATCTAAATATAGAGGGGAACCTACACAAATACTAAATAAGCATAAAAAAGAAAAAATATATAAGAGGGTCTTAGGAGGAATTGGGTCAGGACCCATACCATCCAAAACGAGCTCAGTCCTGATCGATTCCCATCTAGATTAATGATTTAAACCAGAAATCGTATGGTTTTAAAACATTGGTTGTTTCTAAAGATGATCTTGATATGAAATCTTTTGTTCTGTCCATTTTAGCATTTTAAAACTCAGTGATTTCTTATCCAAATGCCCATTGGTCAAGACCAAGCCATGTCTAGGACAGTATGGGTCTCAGACCAGTTCCCCTCTCCTTACATAATCTTCTACACTTTTTTAAAAATATTTAATGTTTTTTTAAGTCCTCTCTATAAAGCCACCTATAAACTCCTATTTAAATTTTAATTTACTTAATTTTTTTTTTTTAACATTTTCTAGATCACTGATTCAAGCTTATCTAGACCTAATGTAGATCGTCAATCCTACAATTTGGCATGGATCTGTATGTGAGAAATTCGCCTCAACGATCCAAGTTTCTAAACACTAGTACGTTCTTTGCAGGGGTACACTTAATGATTAAAAATAGTAATAAAATAAGTTGACCAAAATGGGCATTTTAGTTTTGGATGTGGTTAGCATGCGGCCAAGCCCGCAAATGTAGAAATGTGGCCCCCTTAATTAATTTGTTTTGAAATAAAATTCGATTGTAATTTTTAGAGAATATATAATCTTAAATGTAGAGATCATGAATATGAAAAATAAATAAATTTTTAAAACTTAAATAATAATTCTATTAAAAGAACATTTGGATTGTTAGTTTCAATTGTTTTTGGATTGACCTCTTGGTTGCATCCATCCTTAAAATGGATGCGTTATACCTTTGGACCGCATATTGTACAAATGCGGTCCAACATATTGTTCCTTAGTTTTGCATTAAATACATTCTTTTATTTGGATGCGTGTGCTTTTTGAATTTACTGGGGTATTTGGATGCGTGTGCTTTTTGAATTTACTGGGGTTTGCTTCCCCCAAGGTAAGACACTTTTTTAATTTTTAAGGGTTCAAGAGCCTGAAATTTATATATTATAACAAACGGGCTAGTGGGAAGAGGCAATCGAACCCATGAGCTCTTAAACTTTTTAAACTATTTTTGGAATCGTACTCATGAGTTCTTAAACTTTTCAAACTACTTTTGTAGGCCAATAGCAACATACAAAAGCTAGATGAGGCAACCAATACAACTCTCAAAGCTTTATGCTAAAGTGAGGCATACTCGACCAAGACACTCCAAGTACTTTGGTGAGGTCGTGTTTCAAAACACTGATCAAACATATATATAAAGTTTATATAAACATATTTATACAATAATTTAGTTAAAACAAAAAAAAAATTATGATTCTTTTTTTATATGTCCGAGTTTGATATTGGTTGAAACGGATTGTGCTTATCCAGCATCTCGTAGCATATGTAGCTTTTTAATTAGAATTTCAGGAATTCTTGGCATCCATCACCTTTCATATTTACTTTTCAATTCAACTGGATAAAAGAGTCAAACAATCTTTTTCTCTTGGATTGATCTATGATAAAAATTCAGTATATGCCATATATTTTCAGCATTTATCTTTGTTCATAGCCGAAGCGTATCTCATATCACTCTTGCTAGTTTTTCTTTTAAGTAGAGTGTATGACTAATTGACTCAACTGAGAATACATGTCTGATTTGAAGAAAAAATGATTCAAGTGTGAAATGGTTTTATTCTTGATGCAGATGGAAAGAAAAAATCATCCACAAGGATTATCGCTATTGCGACAATTATTTCAAGTGCAGTTCTTTTACTGGCCGTTTGCCTGTTTTGTATGTATAGAAGAAAGACTAGACAGGAAGGTAGGCAGTACATTGCATTAGGTCATGCGAAGCGATTCAAAATCCTTAACTGCTTAGTTAATCCAAAACTCCATGGTTCTATTCATTATTTCTTTAATGTTGTTTGATTTGATAGGAAGGAATGATCAAAGCCATGTATCACTTAATCAAACAGAGAGATCAAATACTGGGGACAGAAGCAAAACAAATAGGACATGGTGGTGTGGGAGGAGATGAAAATACGTCATTGCTCTTTCATTTAGAGACAATTGTAGCTTATACTAACAATTGTTTTGAAAAAAATAAGTTGGGAGGAGGGGGGTATGGTCCTGTATACATGGTAATGTTGTTTCTTTGAGAAAGTCCTTTGTAGATTAACTAGTTTTGTGTTGTTCGTCAATAAAGAAAGGAAGATAATTCTTCACAGGGGAAGTTGCAAGATGGGAAAATGGTTGCAGTAAAACGACTTTCAAGCTGTTCAGGGCAGGGTTTAGAAGCGTTCAAGAATGAAGTTATCTTGATTGCCAAACTCCAACATAGGAATCTTGTGAGGCTCCTTGAATGTTGTTTAGAAAGACAGGAAAAACTTCTGATTTATGAATACATGCCCAACAAGAGCCTCGACACCATCCTATTTGGTTTGTATCCAAACTCTACATTGATTTCATGATATTCATGCACACATTTGAGGGGATGAACTCAAGCCAACATCATCAATATTGTTGGAACATAGTAAGTAGTTCGTTCTTTTGTAATCTTTGTTTCTAGGCAAATGGGTTCCCCATTGTCTCAAATCTTATAAATTGGTAAAACACAGCTTGATTGCCCTCTCTCTCTCTC